CCCCAAAACCCCAAAACCCCTAGAGATATAGACCAGAATCGATTTTCAAAACTGGAAAAACTTTGCAAATTATAATTGTTTAATTATTACAAAATATGACATCTCTGAACATCTACATTACCAAGAACAAAGGTTTAATATTTATTTAGCTATTGCTTGGTATAATTATGATACATTCAGTCTCTGCAAAAAGCGATCTTAAATATGAGTAGACTTCTAGAGAATTATTTGAGAGAGCGAGAGGAATGCTTGAAGGATATCATTAAGGGTTTTATTCAGACAATAATTTCAGAGTAGATGAGGAATGCCTAGACAATTAAACTATCAGAGAAATGAGCAGATTCTTGCACAATTTACAAGAGATAACTAAATCAAACCACAATATTATCAAAATGCTGATCTCTTTCAACATTCTAAGTAATTTGTACTTTGAAAATTGTGAAGTCTCTAAATATTTGTACGAACCAACTGCGTTTTGTTTAGCGCACGATTGTGATCCACAAATTTTATTTTCCAACTATATTTCGAATTCAATCATGATTATGGCAGAGGGAGCAAAGATTAATACCAGAATATTTGAGGGATCTGATGAAGATGAAACATTATTTGATACTTATAAATCTATTGGAAAAAGCATTGGAATAATAGTTTAGAAAGTATTAGGCTATAGACCAAGAAGATTTTATTGATTACCTTAATAATATCATCAAATAATTATGAAATTAAGCTTATCATTAAATAACTAAACTCATTCATTTTTATGTGATAGTCGATCTAACTATAATAAGTGGGAACTTTGATATTTTATTTTGTTATTTTTATGCTTAGTGGTATGTCCCCCAGACATCGTATCTTCGAAATTATTGAATTTTTAATAATAGATATTGTCTACCTCATTTATCACGTCTACTTCAAATGCTCTAAGCTCTCTAGCTGTCTGCTCAATTCTGGCCTAAAATATGGAAAACTTTATAAGTTGAATAATTACATCTTCAATGTCCTTGTGCTGCTTGACGTTTCTATTTAAACTTAGATGATTAAGATGTAATCTATGCCTTGGCCTTTATTGCTACTTAATTTGAGCTTTCTTTAAAATGTCTTTGATGTCATAACTCATTCTGAGTCGTTCTTCTTCTGTCATATAGCCTTTCTTTCTCTTAGCTCTCATTACTTATTCAATTTTTTATTCCTTTTCCTCTTTCTATTATTAGAATATTTAAGAATATATTTGAACCTACCATCTTAAGCCTTTGGAAGTATTTTGCAATAGGATTACCTCTTGTTCTTTATCTTTTTCTATTAACAGGGTTGACGATAACAGCATTCTTGAGCTTTGCATCCTCATCTTCTGAAAACATTCCACTTTCATTGTTGCTTTGTGGATTCTTTTCGTCAGCAGAGCCTGACAATAAATTCCCACTCTCCTAGTTCTTTTTATCATCATCTTCTTATTTTTGAACTAGATCTTTATCTATTTCCTAATAGAATGGGAGCAGCAGAATATTCTTCTCTCCTTTAATACCGGTGGGTGAGGGTAAATCTTTTCCACTTATTTCTGATATTGGCGTACCTGGCTATAAATACTTTGAAGCTGGATCTACAAAAATCTCACTATTAATCATCCTAGGTGATTATCCTTCTGATATTTCATCAATTTTTTCAATCAAAGAGTAATCTTTCAAAGTCTCTGAAAACAGTTCTTGAAATTCTCTGCCAATAGATTTTTGGCTTCTAGTCATTGGACCTTAAACGTCTTGAAATTTATTCTGAGGCAGTTTGATCTTCTTCATGGTCTTAATAGCATTTGCTGCAGAAATCTTCCTTACTACTGAAAATTTAGCTTCACTTTTTCCTCTCAACATACGGTCATTGTAGTACCTACTTCTATCCAAATCTCCAACATAAAAGTACTAAATAGCTAAATTATCAAAAGCAGACATTTCACCTTCAGAGTTTGAAATAAACCAAGCAATCTATAACTGCTTTTTGAAGCATAAAATAGCTTTCTCGTACTCTTTAAGCTGTTGGTAGCAGAAACCAATTTGCTTGTACGCATACATTTTCGTTTCTAAATCTTTATCCATAAAAGCACAATCCTTCAGCTTTTTAAAATAGTCCATAGCTAATCTAAATAATCTCCATGATAGATAAGTGTGAGCTAATAAGTTATATGCTCTCTTTGCTAACTAGAGTTCTTTAACTACAAGTGCTAGGTATGCAACTCTATTTAGTTTTTCTGCAACCATTTTTCTATCCCTTATTTAAAAAGCTGAAGAAGCTGATCTAATGATATCCCCAAGCTATGTAACATAGTTCTTCTTATTGCCATCTACTTCGAAATTAAGTGCCAAACCAAAAGTCCTAGAGAATGATTCCTTAGTCAAAACTTTTTTTCCAGATTTGCTTTGAGTCATATTGTTGAATCTTAAGAGATCATTTTCAGTTTTGCTATCTTAAATTTAGGTCTTATTGTGATTACCTCTCTCCTTAACCCCTTAAATTTTAAATGATTTTTCGAATTTTACCTTGCCAGCCTCAATATCAATAAGATGAAGAGATTCCTGAGATTTTACCTTCTCAGTCTTTAAATTCTTAAAAGCCAATAATTTCTACTTAGCATCAATTTTAGAATTTGAATTTGCAATCTCCATAATATCTAAGTTATTTTTTTCATGTTTTACTGTAACTGGCAGATTTGCAAATTTTAATGTCTACGATGAATATGTTTGCTTACTGGGTGATTAATGAAGAAAGGGATTAATTGCTTTAGATTTAGATCCCAGTCTATTAAGATGTCTTTTAAGGGGATTCGTTGTTATGCTTGCTTTGTAAAATGAGAAAAAGGCTGATAGAGACTGATTCATTGCTAATTTATCTGGACTAATATGTTCTTTGGTAATGCTCCTATTTTTCCTGATTGATTAATATCCCCTTTTAGAATCTTCAGTTTAACCTCCTAATTTAGGCAAGCCATCCTAACTAAATGCTAATCTGTTTTTATCATAAAATTTTTATTTCTAATGACTCATCAACTCAGACTTATTAGGATCAATCTTATTGAAACTAAATGGTGTGTTAAAAAAGCTACTGCCGCCTTATGTATCCTGCTAATTATTGCTATTTGAATTATCATGCTTCATATTTTTAATATTAGTACTGCTTACATTAGTCTTTTGCTTTGTATTAGTCCTACCACTAAAAACTGCTATTTTAGTCTCAGTATTTCTCTAACTGAAAATCTACAACTTATTGTTGATTGCTTAGTTACTGCTCATTAGATTTGGATCATCCAATGAAAGCAATGAGGTCCCCTTACGATTAGCAAGTCCTGTGCTAGTAGGAAACAAATTCAACTGCTCTAAATTTGCAGATGAGTCATCTTGCTTAGGTCTCTTTGACTTACTTGAAAGAGGAGATTATTTATTATTCTTTTTATTATAATTATTGTTTATGTCTAATTAATTCCACATTGCTTTCCATGAATGATTGTCTCTCTGATAGATATCATCAGCAACTTGCATAATTTTATTAAATTTTTGAATGTCTTATGATATAAGTAAGCCTTAGCTGCTATTAGCACTTATTTCTTCATCAACATTTTTCACTTAGAACTCAAAAGATAGATTATTCATATTTAGCTCTTCACTTGATCTCTAACTAACGCCTATTTTGGATCTTTAGGTGTCTTAAAATTAAGATATATACTATTTCTTTCGCCTCTAATGCTATTTCAACAAGTTTTTGTACATTTCAATTTATTGTAATTCATATGTAATCTCTTTTTTATCTTTGGTTACTTTAGGCAAGCTAAGATCTAATCTTAGATTACTCTTTTTAGGTATTTATTTTGATGGAGACTAGTTTTATTTCATTTTGATTTATTTTTATAAATTATTCTTTAAATAATTGGTACATTAAATTACTTATTAAACAATTAGATCATTATTTAGCTGCATGGGGTTTTGGGGTTTTGGGGTTTTGGGG